CATGTGGGTACACTCTCTTTTGGCCCCTGCCAAAATCTGTGCACCATATCCATTAGTTCTGTTGGTGTATATGGCCTAGACATTACGTGTAAATAAATTTGGGCAGGGGGCCATTGGCCAGGGGACACCCCTGCCAGTCTATCTCGTACTTTCCTTGTCTTTTGGGTTATAATAGGAAAGAGTTCCAAGGAATCCGCCGTAAGTGGAGCCTCTAGATCTGACTTAGAGTTTTTGTTTTCCTGTTCAACCAGTTCTGTTACTTCAGAGGTATGGTTATTATCTATTGACATACTGCAGACCTGACCTAGGGAATGTCATGTCGGTCTTTTCCCTGTTAATACTTTAAGTTCATGTTCCTGTTTTTCAGTACAATCTTTTAGTAGCCGATTTTCACTTCCTAAGGTGTCCGATCTTATCTCAGCTTGATTCAAGGCATTTAACAGAAGCCATGCCACTGTGGATGCAGCTAACTGCCTTTATTTTGTAGTTAGGATGTCTCTGTCTAATCCTTGAAAGTATTCTGTCATATGGAATGGGGAAATATTCCCCATAGTATGCAGGGGACCACATTTCTCAACTATAGTTGCTTATTGGTAATAAGGAGATCCCAGAAACCCTGGGATCTGTTCGGGGATCATTTTATCTAAGAAGATGATGTTCTCCCCCCTGACCTGTTTATAGAAATTCCACAGAAAGGCCATGATACAAAGAATATTTGACCTGGCTGGCTCACCAAATGTATAATCAATGAATATACAAATGATACAGTATATTTGAGAGCTTGGCTTTTGTAGTCATTATACCAGAGCAGGAAAGAAGAACACTCACTTTATGCCTAGGTCTAGGAGAGGTGAAGCTAGGCTCCACCCCTTCCGGCAGCACAGGTGGATTGCCTTCATCTATACTCCCATGGCTGACTCATTGCTAGCTTCAGGTGATTAATCAGAGGTTTAGGCTGTGATTCAGCAGTCCCCATACAACTGTGTTCTGAGATAAAAAAAAAAAAAAAAAGAGAAATTAGTATTTATGTGGCAAATCAAATATGGGTAAGACTTCAGTTTATGGACAGATTTTCTTTTCCTGACCTAGTTTGTTGTAGGAATTCCTGACTCTGGCACCATTTTCTTCAATGATATGTCACCACTGTAGTATACTTGTTGAAGAAGTGGATATGTCCCTTCAGGGGTTTTATTATATATTTTTTAACATTACTCAGGTTTAGGATTCATCAGTACGACTAAGAAGACAGGTTAGAGAGGAGGTAGGTGAAGAGAGAGCATGAGGAAGCCAGGGATGGGAAGAAAGCTTTTAAACTAGCTGTGGTAACAATTTTTTTTCATAAAATCATACCTCGAGAGTACTACTTGTCTATGCCAGACACTTTTTTTTGAGAGTAAATTTATTTGAAGGCATGTGACTTTCAATCATTTGCATAGAGGAGAGCCTAACCAATAATTGATTGTAATGCAGTTCAAGTTTTGCATAGAAAATATTGACTCGCTTGGGGTGATTTTGTGGGAAATGAATTGTGGCATGCATGAAATAACAGCTGGCCTACAGTGGAGTATGGAAAACAAAGAACTGAAAATTTCTGAGCCGATTTCCCAGTTCTTGATGTCTAAAATGTATATTTTTAATATATTTATATATATATTTATTCACTTTTGTGAGGAAAGGGTTGAGGGAACTGGAGTTTTATAGACTGGAGAAGATAAAGCTCCAGGGAGACTTCATTGTGGCCTTCCACTATTTGAAGGGAGCACAAAAATAGGAGGGGTATGACTGTTCATGAGGATGGATGGTGATAGGTCAAGGGGGAATGGTTCTAAACTAAGACAGGGGAGGTTTAGTTTAGATATTAGGAGGATATTTTTCACACAGAGGGTGGTGACACACTGGAACAGGTTGCCCAAGGACATTGTGGATGCTCCATCACTGGAGGTATAGAAAGCCAGGCTGGATGTGGCTCTGGGCAGCCTAGTCTAGTAGCTGGCAACTCTGCATATAGTAGTGGAGCTGAAACTAGATACTCATTATGGTCCTTTTCAATCCAGGACATTCAATGATTCTATGATTTTTTGCTTTTTTAACATCGTTCTTGAATGATTCCAGAGTTTTTTTCCAGCATGTGTATTCGCATCTCCAGTATCCAACACTCATTTTTGAAAAGTCAAAATCTAAGGATTTATCCTTCTCTCCTTCTTTCCCCCTTCCAAAATCTTAGTCTATTACAAATTGCACAGCTTGGCATAGAAGCAGTGCCCAGTACACAAGTATATAATTTAAATATATAATTTTAATATATAAAAATAATTTAAATACTAGGGTTTTTTAAAATACACTATTTTGGCAACAGACAGACAGAATCACATTGCAGATACATGGATTCAAATATTAAATGGACTAAGCTTACTGGTAAATCTTTTGCTCTTACCAGTGTACTATGCTGTAATGGAAGTGTTGATAAGAGCCTATGTGAAGATGATAACGGACCTTTTCCTGGGTGCATGTGTGTACATGCCCCTGTGTACACACTTGCACATCCCTGCAACACTTTGGGACCTGGGGCAGTTCCTGGAGGCTACAGGAAACACAGCACCTTCCCTGCTTCAGCATAATTCCCAAAGAACACAGTAGGGCTGTTTCACCTCCCTTGTCTGCCTCTTTTGCCTGTAGAGCAGCATAATGATATGCAAGAAAAGGCACTGTCACTCACCTTGTTTAACTTCTTCCCTCTGGAGGCAAGAGACTGGCTCCCCTGCCATCCATTCATCATTCCTGAAGGCAGGTATGGGCTTCATGCTTCCATGGAAGCCTGGGGCTGGGACCTTTCATTAGTGGATCCAATCCATCATCAGGAAATGAATGGCATGCCTTTGCTTTCACTGCAGCTTTACGGTAATAACAGTGAAGCAGTGGAACAGTTACCTAGAGAGATGGTGAATGCCCCATCCCAGGAGGCATCCAAGATCAGGTTGGACTCGTATCTGAGCAACTTGACCCAGCTATAGATGATCCTATTAATTGCAGAGTGGACTAGATGACTTCTAAAGGTCCCTTTCAACTCAAATGACTCTATGATTGTATGAAAAGGCATTTGAGCAAGAGATGAATTAGATAGCTCTTCTTGTGGAAGTTGTTTTCTTGCACTGAGAAATGTATCTAGTTACCTTGGTGCCACTGAAGTCATTCTGTCATGATATTGTTTGATAATTCACACTGTTGCTTATTACAACCTTGCGGATTTCAGGTCTAATGGCTGTATGTCTTTCATAGAAATGAAATTTGCCTTGCTTTTGCACATGTTCTCCAAGCTACAGCATTCTCTCATACTGAAGATTAACACTGTCTGTTTATCATCTTTGAGTACTTTTATTTAGTTCTCCCTTATAGGATTGCATATCTCCTCTCTTAGCAATAAGCTCTCTCTGAAACAAATAAAATATAGGCATTCATGTAGGACAACACTGCCCTCTTCCCTGTGTATGAGTTTAGGAACGGGCAGTTGTGATGGTATGAGAACAGCAGCAGGAACAGTAGTGATGGAAAAAAAAAATCCATTGTGTGGACAAATTGTTCCATTTGTCCTTTCCTGGGAGCTGTAAGTTTAACTGTAGAGGCTTTTAATGTTACCCCAATTTCTTTCCTCCTTGGTTCTAGAGCTTTGCTGCCTCTCTTAGGGCAAGTCTGCTCCTGTCACAAGAGTTAGTTTCTGAAATAGAATATTTCAGCATAGAAAACTTCAGCGTTACCTATGATGTTGAAAGGCTCCATATGTATGAATTTTTGGTACTAATTTCTCTCAGAATAGAGTTATTTCTGCAGCCTTTGTCCCAGGCTTTCAAAAATCTCATTTTCTGTTAGGAATAACTTCAATGAGGAATGCATTGGGTAAATGAGGAACGAATGGGTAAAAAACCACTTTTCCTAGTGTCAGGAGATTTAGAGTCAGTTTCTAAGTGGGATCATGCTCAAATAAGGAACAAGTCTTGCCAATTTTTTTAATTAGGTATATTATAAAAAAATCTTTGTTCTTTCCACCCTTACTTCATAAATGTGTATTTTTCTGGCTAAATGCAATCATATACCCTGTGTACATAATTGTCTTCTGACCAGCACTCTTCCATCTTATTCTTTAGCTTGTGATATGTTTCAAACAAGCATGTATTTTATGTGAATTTAGTCTCATTTTAATATTGATATTGTCATTGCCGAGTTCTTTAGCTCTCTGAATTTCTTGGTGTTTTTTTAGTGTTTGTAATCTTTCCTACCAGTATTTTGGAAAGATCAATGACTTTTATCTGTGCTTACTCTGCTACTTTCAGTATGAGTCATGAAGATGTTGAGTAGCAACATGTTTATCAGTATTAACTATAATCTGTTCCTCAGAGCAGGAGTTATTTTTTTTTCAAACCAGCTGTATGGTCTGCTCATTTGTAAAAGATATTTATTCTTTCTAAAAAGAAAATACTAGATATGCAAGTAAACCTTCCTGTTTTAATAGAAATTCCAGTTTCTTACTCTATAAAGATATTAGAGGATGCTGTCATTACGTTCCTACAGATTTATTTCCACATTAGTCTCCAAATAAATCTAAGAGGACTTACAGAAGCAAAGAATGATGGCTCACCTGGATGTGCTTTTGGAGAGCTGAATCCTTTCCATCATTTTCTGCCAAACATTTGGATGAAATACTGTTATTTTTGATGGAAGTGAGGAGTATTTCACTGACTTCAGTTCAAAAATGTAAGAGGTAGTTTTTTTTTTTTTCTGAGCAAAAAGAATTTTGAGTATGTGTTATACTGAAACAGGATTCTCTTTAACTTTAACAAAGTGCTTTAAACTACTCAAATCATTCACTTCATTTGGTGGTACTAACTAAAAAATACAGAATTTTCATTCATGTTTTTGACAGTTATTTTAAATTTTGGAGATTGTTAAGAAACTAAAATACATTTCAAAAATGATACCCTTGGCATATCTTTGTTTGTCTCTTTCAGGAAGTATTTTGGGGAAAAAATAGGACTTTACTTTGCATGGCTGGGCTTGTATACAGAATTTCTCATTCCATCTTCAGTCGTTGGGATTATTGTATTTCTTTATGGATGTATAACCATTGAGAGCGACATTCCTAGGTAAGCTTCTCTATGAAGAGATTTTATTACTTGAAAGTTACGAATCTACTTTTTTTCTATTGTAAGTCTTAGTGAGAAAAGTTGCTTTTAGCAACAAGTCTGAACTACAGTGATGCAGAATTAACAACACTTTGGGCACTGGAAATACACATCCACTGAGTAGATGAGACATTTGGATGACTAACATTCATTTGTCTGCTCAGTATTGTGGAGTCTGATGTAAAAATGTTTAGTAAGTCCATAGCATTATTTGAATAAGCATGATCAAAGTATTGGACTACTTGTAAGTTCTTTTTTATGCCATCCAATTGTTTTCTGTGAATGAATATTTATATATTATTGGGAAAGTTCAGAACTCACAGAAGTTAATGAAAATACCATGTCTTTGTTCACTGTTTTGTTCATCTTAGTACGTTGTGGTTTTGCGTTGTTGTTCTTATGTGGAATACTGACAACAACATGTGAACCAGTGGGAGTTAGAGTTAATGCTATGGTTTGCTTTACTGCCTTTTATGAGTATTTTGAATATTAGGATGGTAGGGGAGGAGTGGCATTCCTGGAGCACTTGGTGCAGAGGAAGATAGGTGAAGGTCTAGAGTGCACTCCAGTGACTCTCTCCCTGGCCCCGCTCAGCTCGCGGTCGAAAAGCGCTCATGCTCCCCTTGCACTATAGTGGGAACTTGCAATTTGGTTGCTCTGATCTTCCTCTCTCTCATTTTGTTTGATTTTTGTTGGATTTAGTAAATCACCTCTTCTGTTGTGTCTCTTCTGTTGGACCCATCTGCTAGCTCTCTGCTTTTCTCCCTCTCCTGGAGCACGTGGCCCACAGTGCATCTTGCTGCTGGGCCAGGGCCTGCTGGATTGCGCACAAACTGCTAGCACTCCTTTTTTTGTTTGTTTGTTTGTTCTTTTCCCCAGGCCTATGCCCCCACTGTCACAGTTTTAGATCTAGGGATAACTTCATGACATAGTAAAGCCAAGTTATTTGCACAAGATGAATATTCTATAGCAGATTAGATATCCATATGATTGATCTTGACAATTAGAAAAAACGTTTAGTGTTGCTCTCTGTGTCCAGATACAACACTGCAAGGCGATAAAAAGAGTAACAAGATGGCAGAGCAGCAAAATCTTAGGCTACAGCAATTGAGGATCTGCTTAGATGTGATGCATTAGGTGCAGAAGTAGCAGAAAGAAACTCCTTTAGGAAGACTGTAAGATCCACAGATAAGCATGGATCTCCAGAGAGATACCCTTGCCTCAACTATCAACCCTTAAAAGGATCCTGGATTCTAGCTCCCCGCCTTCTGGTCAGTTAGGTGCATCTCTTGCAACTGAGCTCCTCTGGGTTGGCCCTAATTTCCTACCAGGTGCTCAATCATTGGTTCAAGCCATGACATAGCATTTCCTCTACAAATACATAACAAAACTCATTCTACTAGTGGGGAGGGCTCACCTTGATTACTACATGCAGTTTTGGGCACCATAATAAAAGAATGATATTAAACTACTACAGAGTGTCTAAAGGAGGGGTACAAGAGTCTAGAGAGTGAGACATATGAGAAGGGTCCATTGGTTTGGTCAGCCTAGAGAAGATGAGATAGAGGGAGGCCTCATGGCTGTCTACAGCTTCCTCATGGGAGGAGCGGGGTGACAGATGCTGGTATCTTCTGTCTGCTGACAGCATCAGGATGTGGAGTTTTCTCAGGAGAAAAAGGTTGGGTATTAGAAAAATGTTCTTAATTGAGAGTGTGGTCAGGCACTGATAGAGGATCCCCAGAACAGTTGTCATGGCATCAACCCTGCTGAAGTTTGAGAAGCTTTTCAAACAACTCTCTAAGACATAAGGTTTCAGTTCTGGGTGGTCCTGTGTGGGGACTGGGAGTTGGACTCAATCCTTTGATTCCCTTCCACTCAGGAATTCTATGATTCTATGAATATTGATGCAGTGAAGTCTGCTTCACAGTGTTGTGTGGGGGGGAATACACTATCTGGGACTGACTCTTGGTAGAGACAGCATACTGGCTTAATAGAGCTGTTGGTCACATTTGTTGCAGTAGTTCTTGCATTCATTCAAATAATTGGCAAATTTAAAAGCAAATCACTCTGCAGTAGAAAATTACTGCTGATAGGTAAGGATGAATACACTTAAGTTAGGTTGTATTCATGATGCTTGAGGTCCCTTCCAACCCTGTGATTCTGTGATTTTCTTCCAAATTATGAGCTGTGCTTGCCCGTGGGAGAGTTTGTGGTGACATTAAAAATGAAGTGAGATTTGTCTCAAAGATATATCTGCAGTATCCTCTACTGCCTTTCAACATAGAGCAATATTTTAACTATATGATAACTGCTAACAGCTGTATGCCATTCAAATTATATAATAGAAAACATACTGATAGTACAGTTTGAATAGCTCTTCTATTTGAAGTAATAGAGAAAGTACTATGAATGGTGGTTGATTTAGAAGATGATCTTATCGCAACTTACCAGCTGTCAATGAAAATGATGCAAGTTTTACTGTAGGTCACAATCTTGGATAAGGACACTTGAGTTCCATGAGTCAATTCATTTGAATGAGACTGTGCAGGTATGAAGTTATTTCACATATAAACCTTACGAAAAAATTGAAAGCATATTCAGGAGAGTCAAGTAAGGTTTGGTGTATTAAAGAATTAACGATAATGATTTTTAAATTATTTGTAGGTACTGAGGAAGTGCATAGTAAATAAGGCTAAAAATTAAAGTGACCTTAAATTTTTTTTTTTCTATCTGTTAGTCTCTTATGTCATGTTTTCCAGAGGGTAATTGAACCAATCTTGCAGAGTAAGGAGGGAAAGGAAACATTGCTTAGCAAATGAACAAATAGGGCAGAAGTGAAATACTTGTTTTTATAAGATCTACAACTTTTATTTAAATTTGAAAATTAGATTAGCACTCTATACTAGAAAAACAAGGAGCTATTCAGCCAGAGCTCTGTAACTGTGGGGAAATTGTGTTGAGGACTCTGAAAAGTGAAGGAACTTCATCTTCTGAAACCACTGTGGGCACAGTATCCGAATACTCTTAAAACATATTTGTTTAGGTGTACTTTAAGAACTTTATGGTAAGTGGTAGTACAGACCAGAATTTGTGTTAAGCCCTATCTTAGGTGAACATGCACTGTTATTATAAATATCCTTCAAAATAAAATGAAGGATGGAGACAAATTTCAAAGCAAATGGGAAATATAACATCTTTCCTAAAAATAAGACTATTGGACAGTGTACAATGCTTGTGTCACTCATACAACCACAACCACCTAGTGTATCTTCCTAGCAAATGATATTGTAGGTATAGACTATGTCCATGACACAGAACAACTAAAATGCCTGCATTTTGGACCTGGTTTTTATGCAGCATGATGTGGTCAGTAATATGGACAAAAATGCGTAAAGTAATATGATATTTCATGTGGATTTTTGTGCCGTCATGTAAAAATTTGTTTTGTTGGGGGCAAATGAAATAAGAACCCATAGAATTTCCATTCCAGCTACTACAAAATTCTTTAATTCAAGCCTGATCTATGTAAAATCATGCTGCTGAATGCAGAGACGGCAAATTCCACTTTGACTGTGTTTTAATTATTTTCTTCTAGTACTGTTAATCCCAATCTTTACTGTAGTCTTCACAGAATCACTAACAACATATATAATGATTTATTAAATTGGACCCTGTTTTTAATTTTCTGTTGGTAAGGTACCAGTATTTTAATATTACAGAGGTTGGCAATGTGTTAAGAGATGCAGGGCTTTTGTTCTCTATTACAGCAAGCCACATATTGAAAATATCTTGTAATAGCTATGAATTGCTTCTTGGTATCACTATTGTACAACCCTTTTCTTACTCTAAGAACTCATATCATTCACAGTAAGGAAATGTGTGACCAGCATAATACCTTCACCATGTGCCCTCTCTGTGACAAGTTCTGTGATTACTGGAACCTCAGCTCTGCATGTTCTACAGCTCGAGCTAGCCACTTATTTGATAATCCTGCCACAGTCTTCTTCTCCATCTTTATGGCTCTCTGGGGTGAGTACAATTACCAAAGCTAGATTGTTGGACTGTCTCGCTCCAATATATGGTGGGGAGAGGAGGTTCTTTTAATATATGTACACCTGATGGCGAGATAAAGACATGATGGGTGAAGTGCTAATCCAAACAGTTTATTACAAATCCTAGTTGATTAGGCATATGGGGAAGGGAAGACAGATGATAGAAGAGGATAGAGGGAGAAAAAGCAAGGAATCTTCGTAGAAAGCAAGAGAGATACTACTGTAGGTCCAGCATGATCTGTAGTGTGCTTGTTGATCTCAGAAACTCAGCCAGTCACTGCGGCAGATGGGAAAAAGCCAGGAGGGTTTGCAGCAAGCAGACCTAGGGGGATTCTTCAAAAGAGGTTTTTTCCCATTAGGGTAATCTTCCAACAAAGGTTTCTTTGGGAGTTCTTCCCTGAAGTCCTTAGTTTAGTGAGGGCTTTTTATCCCTCATTTCTGTTTTTTTCCTTCTTTTCTCTCTGTTAGTGTGACGTACCTGGTCCAATGGATAGTAAAGGCTCCACTCCCTGCTGGCTTGCCATGCATAAGGATTATTGCCTTCTGCAGTTGTCAGCTCCTCCAAACTGCCCCCAAAAAAGACTGCTAGTTTGCTTCTGTTTATCTTGACAATCATAAGCAGAAGCACTGTGGCATAGTGACACCTGCCACATGTTCCCCCAGATAATTTGCAACTCTCATTTAGAGTCTTCTCATCAGAAAGGCCTCACGAAGAAAGTTTTGAGACAACAAAAGAAAAACAGTTCTGTCTTTAACAGACTTTTCATTAAAATTAAAGCTGATACATGGCAGCAGAACATTGTACACAGAGTAGAATAATATGAGTGAGTGTAATGCATATAGTTTTCCAAAGTTGGCAAAGTTTCCTCAGAAGGCAAGAAATAGAATCTCTGTGCTGAAACTGGAAAAGGAATTATTACAATGCATTCTTTAGTCAACAGAAAGGTTTCAAATGAATGAAGAGCAGTTGGGTAGTCCAGGTAGGGAAACTGCATCTTTTTTCCCCTCTATTTCCTTGTTTGATTTCACTTTTGTCATGTTTTCCATCATTTTCTATTGAAGCAGCAAGTTCTATTAAGCACTTCTGCATTTGGGACTGGAGTGTATTTGGATTTTTCCCATGGGGTATGCAATTATAAGGGTTTAATTTAAGCCCTTCCACTTCCATGTAGGACAACTTAGTGAAACAATTTTATGAAAACTTTGTTAGATTCTGAGAACAGTGGAACTATTATTCTAATTTTTGTATTTAGAATATATTATTTATGCAAGCTTGTTTTTCTTTAGTGGCAAAAATGCTCTGCCTCACTGAGGGATCAAAACACTTCATAAACAGCAATGAATGCATTATAGTATTGTCTGGCCTCATCTCAACCACTGTGCTTACATGTGTGTCACTGCTGTTGCTATGCCCTCATTCACTCTAGATCTTGTTTACTGTGAAAGTTAAGGGTGTAATTGCTACTGTAAAATGATTTTTAAAATTTTCTTATTCATTTTTCACAGAAGGAAATTTTAATTCTTAATATGAAATTGTGCAAACATTGCTCTGCAGCTATAACTCAGCTATGCGCTTTACTCTAACTCTATTTAAATTTCACAGCTTCTTTTAGAAAAGACTATTATCTTGGGTTTGGGCACAAACAGCATTGAGGTTTTTAGGAATTTGAAGACAGAGTAGACTGTATAAATCGAAAGATTTTGTTTATCACTTCCTGAAAATCATTCAACAGAAGCTTAACAATACATAATCAGTACTAGAGGGATTACAAATAAGATGAATTTACAGACTTGTGTCTTATGTTCCTACTTCGGCTACTGTTTGGAGAGTAGATTAGCAGATAATGGGTCATAGTTTACCTGTTGCCATGAAGGTTTTCTGCTTATGTAAATTAATGCAAAATTTCTAATTTCAGAAATGCTAGTACATATTGTAGTGAGTATGTTTAGACAAATTTTTGCAAAGCTAAAAGTAGATCTGTTTTTTGAAAAATTGAAAAAAATTCAGTGAGTAACTGCACCTTTCAGAATAATTTTTTTAGGCTATCTAAAATATTTTGAGTTTTCAAAACATAGTTAAAATAACTTTTGCGTATCATTTCTTCCAAAAAGAGGGAGGCTAGAAACTTAATTGCTGAGCACCTGGATTTACTTCCAGTATACTGACAATCTTGTCTTTTATTTCTTAAATAATTAAAGAATAACTAAAGGATTCTAGTGTAGAAATATTTGATCACAGTGAACTGTGGGAATGCATGGTGTTTTGTAAGATTCGGATTGTTTTAATAGCAGTGGAACTCTTTCCACTCTTATCATGTATCTCACACCAAATGTAGATGCAACTGAAGGAAGCTAGATCTAAATCGTCATTCTTCTGTGTCTTGGGGTGTTATCTACACATTATTCAAAGTGATTTAAATACTGCTGTGATCAAATAACCTCTCAAGCAACTGAAAAGAGGAAAAGAACTATGAGAAAATAGAAAACAGTGTCCAAAGTTGTTTATTAATATTGTTTTTATATACATTAGATATTCTGGAAGAATGTTGCTATAATTTTCTGGAAATAGGTATCCACAAGCGAACAGGAAGTGCTATTTCTAATAAGTCCAAAAGTCTGTAAATTATAACTAGCGAGGCAAAGGTGTATCTAGAGGAAACAGTATTCATGAGAAGGTTAAGAGACTAAATACAAGACAGCACTACATGATCTGTTATTTCAAAATAATGAAAAAGGAAAAAGAGAAGACTGAATACTGGCCCATGCCTTTGGGCAAAACCCTAAGGTCATGTGCTTACACAGTGTGAAACAATTCAACTATCCCCTAACAATGTATTTCAAATAAAGATTATTTTCATCAATACAGTAATGGGTCATAATATACATGATATATAATATGTATCAATGACTGATTTCAGGAGCAGACTGCACCTACTTTCTTATGTTTCTGACTGAAAGACTGTTCAGATAATTAGAGTGTTAATATTAATACTTAGACCTAAATTTTGTTTCATTATATACTTTGTGACTCATAATTAAGAGAGATGGTGTTATCGGGGTGGATATCAACAGATCAGGGTTCAGTTCCTGACAACATCTTTCTAGTGCCATTGGGCAATCTGCGGAATCTCTTTTCTGTACTTGTGCTGCGTTCCTTTTTTAGAATTGGAATGGGGATCTTCCTTATTTTTAAGAGTCTAGTATAATGGGCTTCGAATATCAGATGTTGCTTACAAGAAATACAAGCATTCACAATAGTGGATTTATTACTCTCATTTATTTTTTTTTTGAAGCTACTATGTTCCTTGAGCAGTGGAAGCGTTTACAGATCAGGCTGAGTTACTTCTGGGATCTGACTGGACTGGAGGAAGAAGTAAGTTTCTTCTCCCTGAGCTAATTTACTGTACAAATTATTCTCAGTCTGAGGATACTTTCTAATGAACGTTCTTCAGTTCAGTGCTAGAACTGGCACATTTTTGAATGTCAGTGTATCCTTCAGGAAATCATCACATATGTACTAGCATTCTAATTTTAACAATCAGTGTTGAAAAGGACTGAAAGATGCCAGCAGCTCATTCCTTGTTGAAAATGCCATATGCTGTTGTACAGAATATGATATCAGAATGAAGTTAATACCTTGTCATATAGATGCCACTTCATTATGCATAACAAAAGTTTTCTGATATCAATTGTAACGTGTTAAGATAACATAAGTAATATTTGCATCTAGGTCTGTCCTCTCTCTGATGCCATATTAAAAACATATTAAGCTTCATGTACTCAGAGCTCTTTAAAGCAAGCAATGTGTTTGATTACTCAAGAATATTTTTGAAATACTTTGTAGTAAATTTATAGGTCTTCAAACTGTACCTGAGTTGGCTGAAAAGTGAGAGATAGTAGTTTCTTATTATTTACAACATCCCAAGTACATCTTTAGTTTTATTCTCAGATATTATCAGAATTATTTTGTCATAGTGTACTTCCTGTTTAAATTACTGAATGTCATCGGAGGATTAATTTCAAACTGACTAAAAAGAGAGGAGCTACTAGCCCTAAATATCCCTTAATATCTTCTAAATGTTGTAACTATGTATTTACATTACATATGCCATACTGATAGATCCTGCTATGGCATTGAAATAGGGTCAGATTCAGCATCATGCTGTTAAAAATACGAAGTAGTTTAAAACTGTGGTAATTAGATTTTCTTTTATAACTTTTAACAAGCTGTGTACCTACAGAGAATAACTTGTTTTTGATTACTCTCTTTGTTGACTTAAGGAATTGGATTCAAACTCTATCAGATCAAGGCAGTTCTGCAACTCCCATTCCAGGAATCTGATCACATCTTGTTGTGTTCCACAACAGTTCCTTTAATATCAGACCACATACAAAGCTAGAACAGGGCCACTTTCCAGCCCTGTTTCTTAAGCTCAACTCAGACTGAAAGTAGAGCTCAAATAAATGAGAAAACTAAGATGAACCTCATGCTGTAGTATGTTTGTATTTTCCACTATTGTAGAGTTTTTCAGATAAAAATTACTGGATAAAATGAAAAAATAACATAGCAGAAAGTAGACCTTAGTGTTCCTCCTATCACTGTCCCAAAATGCAGCCTTCAGCACCATTTTTAGTGTGAGAGAGACCTCTGAAGTATTCCTTCTCTTGATTAGGTTTTTACAACCTACCTCTGTTTTCTCAACATTTTTACTGCACCCTATTCAATGACGAAGTGGACAATGATTTCAGATTTTAAGGTGTGATATAAACTCAGTACAACAGCAATCAAAAACTATTGTTTGTTCTATGTGGAATGTCATACTATCAGCTGGGAGAACAGCGATTTTGTACTGATTACGTTATGAACAGAAGGAGAGCAAATTCTTCTTTACTCTTCAGTATGCTTAATGAATCCTGAAGATTTTACTGAATTTCAAGTTAATCCCTTACACTGCGAAATACTGAGTTTTCACACAGTGTTTGCAAATCGCTGTGAAAGGATCTATAGATTTGTGAGCCCTGTGATTAAGAGTTCTGAAGTGTTCAAGTTTTGTGTACAGGAACCATGAGATCAGCAAGAATCCTTTGTTTATGACAAATAAAGGAGCTCCAGACACACCTCAACACAAGCTGAAGAATTAGGAGTGTAGAACCATTAAAAAAAAAAAGGCTGGAGAGGATTGTGAGGGGCTGTCCCTTGTGTGTGACAGGATCAGTTCTATTTAAATCATTATAAAAAGATGTTTGTCTTATTTGTTCTTAAAGAAATCTGTAAGTGAAGATTTCACTTCCTCCTTCAGCAATCTGTTCTGATACTACTGATTCTAATTCTTCTCTTACTGCTGCTAAGCTTTTCCTAAATCTACTTCCTTGTTCATTATCACTTGTTCCTTCATGCAAAGATAAACAGATTACCCCATCCTCAATGAAATTCAACATATTGTTCTCTTTTTTTATGAACTAGCCTCTGCTTTTTCAGTTTTTTTTCCTTAGATCTTATTTTCTACATGTTTTTTTGTTCTTGTTCTGTTCTGCACATTTTTTACCTGATCTAGAGATCACTTCCTGTGAGTAGTAATGCTTAAAATGGACATTTGAACTGATATTTTACTTAAACAGGAAGCCAGAATATCATTTTGTCATTCTCTTGGTATAAACGAAGAAATGAAAAAGTTAGATCAAATTTGTTCACCTCTTATCCTTTGAATTAATGGAGATGAAGATAAATTTGTCTCTAAGACAGATGTTGACATTGTGTTTCATCAGTGTGCTAATCACTTCAGGCAGTGAAGTGTTTATAGATGACTTTGATATACTGATGAAAATCGTGGTGGAACATGGAAAATCATGTCTGATCAGGCTAGGCTAGAGGGAAATAACAGGACTCTGAGGAACACTTGGGATCACTTAACAGAGTGTGAAGGAAAAGGGCAATATGTTCAGGAGTTTTAACAGTTTTAAGACTAGATGGGAGTAAGTTATTTGTTACTAAAAGTCTCTTGGTAAAGGGAAGTTATGGAACTGAAACATGAAGATGATCATAAGAGTTGATGAGTTTAGAAGGGCATTGTGAAAATTATGTTGAAATAAATGTGTTCTGTGTAATTTTTGTGGACTCTTGACTATAAAAAATTCAGTAAAATTTCTTTAAACACACTAGGCCAAATCTTTTGCTTCAGAAGAATCGTGCAATAGATTCATTTAGCAATAGCAGTTTGAGGAAGCAGACTCCCCAAGGCTTATATACATATGTGAATCTGGCAGCTGTACAGACTTAGAGGATTTGTGATGTTTCTACATCTCAAATCCACATAAATAATAGATGTCATTGAGTATTAGACTGTTAGATGGGTAATTGTCTTGAAAAGTAGTTGTATGGTTAATAACTAAATGGGAGAGGAAAAGGGGAAAAAAAAAGACTACAACCATGAGAATGGATCACATGAATCTTTGAAATACTATGAAAGCACTCATCATGATGTGTATCTAGATGTGTATTTGTGAAACCTAGTGCAAGTTCTGCATTTATTTGTCTGTTTTTCTGTTTGTGTAATAAAGAATGTAGTTGAGGAAGATGTGTGAGAGAACTCCCTTTTACTTGCAAGAGAAAAAGAGTTAACGAAATACTGAGAAACTCTAATTATATGGAGAATAGAAACTACTGGCTTCCCATGAATGTTCAGAAATTGTATTTCTAGGACCCAGTATGTTCTGCTTCAGATGTTCTGGGTAGAGAGATGGAACCTTATTTTACCAAGAATCATCAAGAATGAAAAGGTAAATATGATCGATGAAATTTTAGAACCTGGAATAGAGTTGGAATAACAAATGGGCAGACAGAAAAGACCATACTAACTGAAATGCAAGTGAGAGAAGGCATTATTACTCAAAGAATCATGCTGTTATACTGTTTCAGTACAGGGAGAAATTTAGCCGTCTGTCTTTGTTAGAAACATACCTGATAAGTTACAATTTTAAGTTTAGATCCTCTGCTTGTAAAGTAATTTTTATCTTTTTTTTGTGGATTTCAATTGCCAAGTTTCTTTTCTCTTTCTCTGTTTGACTTTCAACAGGTATTTATTAAATCCTTAAGGAAAACTGTAATTCACTCTGTGGATTATCACTGAGGTTATATGAAATAACAAGGAAGGTAGGCTGAATAATAGAACTGTTGAGAATCAGGTAGAAAAAGAGAGTCTATGCCCTCTGGAAGAAGGGACAGGCTACTTGGGGAGATAACAAAGAAGTAGCTAAGGTATGCAGGGAGAAAGTTAGGAGGAGAAAGCCCAACTAGAACTCAGGTAGGCCACTGCAGTAAAAGACAAAAAATCCTTTTATAAATATATTAACGGCAAAAGAATCGCCAAGGATAATTCTCATCCTATACTTGATGCAGCAGGGAATGTGACCACTGAGGATAAGGAGAAGGCTGAGGTCCTCAATGCCTTCTTTACATCTGTCTTTAATTGCCAGATCAGTCATCCTCTGGGCATTTTATGCCCTGATCTGGAAGTCTGGGATGCTACTCAGACTATACCCCCAGCAATTCAGATGAAGACAATTAGAGAGCTCCTCCTCCATCTGGACTGTCACAAGTCCATGGGACCGGATGGGCTACACCCTTGGGTGCTGAGGGAGTTGGTGGGGTTCTTGGGCTCTTGGACCCTCTCAGCCACCTATCGGGGCTCCTGGTTAACTGGAGAGGGTTGGAGGCTAGCTGATGTGATTCCCATCTTCAAGAAGGGCCATAAAGAGGATCTGGGTAACTATAGGTTTGTTAGTCTGACCTCAGTACCGGGGAAAGTAATGGAGAAAATCACTTTGGGTGAGATCACACTGCACACGTATGGTGCCCAGGGATCAGGCCCAGACAGCATGAAAGGTAGTTCATGCTTGACCAACCTCATCTCCTTCTATGACTGGGTGACCAGTCTGGTAGATGAGGGAAGGGCTGTTGATGTAGTCTACCTAGACTTCAGCAAAGCCTTTGACACAATTGCTCACAGCCTTCTTCTGGGGAAACTGGCTGCCCGTGGTCTGGATAGGTATACACTTCTTTGGTTAAGGAACTGGTTAGAGGGCTGTGCCCAATGGGTAGTGATTAATGGAATTAAGTCCAGATGGCAACCCGTTACAAGTGGTGTCCCCCGGGGGTCGGTACTGGGGCCCATCTTGTTTAATATCTTTATTGATGGCCTAGATGAGGGGACTGAGCATACCCCCCAAATAAGTTTGCAGATGACACCAAGTTAGGAGGTGGTGTGGATCTGCCTAAGGGTAAGGAGGCCCTTCAGAGGGATATAAATAAGCTGGATTGCTGGGCTGAGATGAATGGGATGAGGTTCAACAAGGCTGAGTGTCAACCCCATGCAG